TCCTCGCGGATGATGAAGGCGAAGGACAGCCCGAACAGGCCCAGCGTGCCCAGCAGGAAGAGGAAGTGCAGGCCCACGGGGTCCCGCTTCTCCTGCTCCGTGATGAAGGGCAGCCGCACCAGCAGGATGAGCATCAGGAGCAGCGTGATCAGGGCGCCAGCGCCGGCCGCCGCCTCCACCACGATGCCCCAGACGGAGTCCAGGTCGCACAGGGACACGTACTGCGGGAGGAGGTCCAGCCCGCAGCCCCGGGACGTGCTGGAGTTCTCGGAGGCCCCCGCGGCGGCCGCGCAGAGCAGGAGCAGGGCCAGAGCTCCGCGGGCTCCCATCTTTCTCGCTGGCACCACGCATGTTCCAGGAAAGTTGGGGTGCGGGGTGGGAAAAAACATCAATTCATCGTAAGCCTCCCACTCCCCGGACTCCACCTCATTTCAAACCTGCCAGCCCATGTGGTGCCTTGGGACACTCAGGACAAGCCTCCAGCCCCGCAGTCCCTCCTGGCAGGCAGCACAGCTGTGCCTCAGGGGGTGGGTGGATTCAGGCCTCATCTGCACCTGGGGCCAGGCCCAGGGAACAGCCATGACTCATCACCAGCGGCTGGAGGAGAGGAGGAGAGCGAGGCTCCCTTTCTGGGAATACCGTCACAGTCTTTGACTTTGAGGCCGCATCTGACCTCCAAAAATCAGGCAGTAAAACGAAACTTTAAAGAGACAGTTATGGCACAGCCACCGCAGGCCATTCAGCCTCTCGTGGCAGCAGCTGGCACTTGGTGGCAACACGGCCAGTCCTTTTCCAGGGACAAGCCACCTCCGGGAGGCTGGGGCACCTGCCCAGGGTCACACAACCAGCTCCTGGCACCTCCCGCACTCCAGCTGTAGGATCATGTGCCCAATGAACCATCTTCCCGGCTCCACCCCAAGTTTCCACCCTCGCATCCCCTCCAGAGATTCCCCAAGAACCCTCTCACTCCATGCCAGCCTCCCCCAGGGATGCCCACAGGGCACTCCCTGGCACGCACTCTGGTCCCCATGCTAGCCAGAGTCCACAGCAGCTGCCTTAGCCCAGGGCTCCTGCCCTTCCTGCTCCCTCCACTTGGACGCTTCTTGGAGCCACAGCCAGGAAAGTGGTCCCCCCTGCTGGCCTTGGCTCCAACATGGTCCCCTCAGGCCCGGGCGTGGTCACACTCCCCATTCCTCTCCATCAGAGCCCCTTCTGTCTTAGTCACTCACATCTCATCTCTGTGCCTGTTCACTCTGCTTCTAGGGTCCCTCTCCCCTGTCCTCCCTTCCTGCCTGTCTCCAGGGCCAGCTGTCCGTCTAGATCGTCAGCACAGACAGGGTTTCTCTGCCCTGAAACTACTGACACTTCATGCCTGGTCCTTCCATGCTGTGGGGCTGTCACTGGCCTCCACCCACTAGATGCCCAAAGCAGCCCACCTCCCTGAATTGACACCCCAAAAGATCTTTAGACACTGCATGACCCCTTGGGGTGAGGTCTTGGGTAAGCACCCCTGGCACTGACTCCAGCAAAGTAGATGCTCAGGGAAGATGGAGGTCACAGGACCCCTTCCTCCGCACCCACCACAGCTCCGGGCTTGGAAGGGAGCCAGCCTCCTGCCTCACGAAAGTGCGCGCAGCGCGTGTACAGCTGCTCTGGTCCCCTTTGCTAAGCGTCTCCAGCCAGCTCACTGCCTGAGCTCCACCACGTGTGGGCTGTAACACCCCCCAGGCAGCTCCAGCGTCCCGGGCTTCCCTGAGTAACTGTGGCATCGGCCACCCTCTCAGTTCCCGCCTGGGATCCTGCGAACAGCTCCAACCCTACTGTGGCTGGGAGACCAAACTGGGGTGAGCTGTCGATGCCAATGACCGAGACGAAGCCTGGTGCTGCAGGGTCCGGCCCCTTCGCCTGCAGACGAGAGAAGGCAGGTGAGCAAGGGGACACTTGGCAAGAGATGCTCTTACACAGCACCCCACTTTGGCAAGTTAGCAGCGAGGATGCACCCCAGACATTGGCACTCTGGCCCTGTCAGCCACTTGGGCCTTGTCCACACACCGCCTGTGTAGGTATTTACTTAACTGGCTCACCAAGTCCTTGAAATCAACTCATTTAAAAGAAAACAAGCCAGTCCTAGCCAGTTTGGCTCAGTGGATAGAGCAGTGATGGTGAACCTATAACACACGTGTCAGAGGTGACACGCGAACTCATTTTTTGGTTGATTTTTCTTTGTTAAATGGCATTTAAATATATAAAATAAATATCAAAAATATAAGTCTTTGTTTTACTATAATTGCAAAGATCAAAAAATTTCTATATGTGACACGGCACCAGAGTTAAGTTAGGGTTTTTCAAAATGCTGACACGCCGAGCTCAAAAGGTTCGCCATCACTGGGATAGAGCTTAGGCCTGCCAACTGAAGGGCCCCAGGTTCGATTCTGGTCAAGGGCACGTACCTTGGTTGCAGGCTCTTCCCCGGCTCTGGCCTGGGCCCTGGTCAGGGCTTGTGCAGGAGGCAACCAATCGATGTGTTTCTCTCACAACGATATTTCTGTCTTCCCCTCTCATTTCCACTCTCCTTAAAAATCAATGGAAAAATACCCCCGGGTGAGGATTAACCAATAAATAAACAAATAAATTAAAGAAAAACGACCCATTGAAACACTTCTCTCGTGAAATGTCGAATCGCGTGATGTAACTCATGTTGCATACCCAGTGGCATAGCCCCTATCACCCTCTGGGAAAGCACTGCCCTGGACAGAGCTGCTCCTCACAGTCCTGTGCGCATGCGGGATGCAAGCGTAAGTGAGCACTGGCTATGCCGGAACTAGAGGCCATCTGCTCCTGCGCGGTGGCAGCCCTGCAGCGGGGCCCCCAGACATGGCTTCCACGTGAGCGCGACCAAGAGACTTCTCAGCAAGTAACAACTGGCACGTCTCACAGAGCCTCCCCAGGTCACGGGCAGCGAGGCTCCTCACCCGCATGGCTGGAGGACAGGGTAGGAATGGGCTTCTGCAGACTTGACCCCCAGCCTCCCCTTACCCCTAAGCCAAGGGACATTTGGCCTCGTCTAGGGACACTTCTGGTTGTCACAACTGGGGAGCGAGGTGCAACTGGCATCGAGTGGGTTAGAGGCCATGGGTGCTGCTGAAGCTCCCACAGTGCACAGACCCCCACTCCCCCCCACCCAACCATACAAAAGATTACCCAGCCCTGAATGTCAGTCGTTCCAGGTTGAGAAGGTCTGAGGCCGCCTGAGGTTGGAGTTGATGGGGAAAATACTAGGTGAGCGGCCAGCCTTGGCCTCGGGCCACATCTTGTGTCCCCTCCTTGCAAGAGCTTGGCCTCCTTCACCCTCATGGGACCTCACCTCTCCCCAGGCCTGGCTACACACAGAACATGGTGCCCCAGCTCCCCACCTTCCTGACGGGCCTTCCAACCACAGAAACCAACGGGGGTGATGTAACCATCAAGACGTGACCAGGCTCATAACCTTGCAGGCGCTCTGGCGTGGCCCAGTGTCTGGCTTCCATCCCCTTCTGACATGGCGAATGGGCACACCTTGCTTTCTGCTTTCCTTCCTGAGGTGGAGCCCCCTCGCACCAACTTCGCCCACTTCTGAAGCGCTCCGGAGCTTCCTCTGGAGAGCTCCGCAAGCCTAGCGCAGCCCCTGACCTGGGCCCGGCCGATCAGAACCGTTACCCCACGACTGCTCCACGACAGGCACATAGCCCACCAGATCCGTGATAACCAGCCTTAGGACATTTGCTAGAATTAACTGCAAAGACGTCTTCTAAGCCAAAAGGGTGTAGACCTGGAGCTGGGGAGGACCCACTTACCGTCACAGGAGGGAACCTGTCCCAGAGGAAAGCCGACCCGGAGGACAGGGCCACGTGATGGAACGGGTCCTAGTGCACGGATTAGCTGCGTCCAACTATGCCTGAAGCCAGGTACCCTGGTACTTGCCGTTCTAGCAGCCAATTAACTTCCCTTTTATGGTTTAAGCCAGTTTGGGCTGGATTTGTGTTACTTGCCAACAGAGAAGTTGTATTATTCCTCCAATATCACGTGGCCCCCTCCTTCCAGAAACTCCTCCCAACCCATCAGCTGGGCGGCCAGGGCTGTGGTGGGCCCAGCAGCCTCTGGTGGGTCTCTGTCAATGCCACGGATGCCCATGAGGGCACAGCCACCCACTCCTAGAACTATGCCCAGGACAACCAGGAGGAGGGCTAGGACTGACTCGCAGAATGAAGCTGGGTCCAGCTCAGTTAGGATTTGGGGGGACTCAGAGTTGCCGCAGTTTTCTGTTATGGCCATGGTGACAGCGACAGCACCTGCCACCTCACCCCCCTCACTGTGCTGCTGGCACTCTGCCATGCCCAGCACACAGCAGCGCCTTATGGTCTGTGCCAGGACGCGGCGAAGCAAGCACTGCTGCCATCTCCCTGTTACAGGAAACAGCGGGAGGTCAGCGGGCTGTCCAAGGTCACACAGCAGGAAGCAGTGGAGCCAAGAGACAACAAGCGCACCATTGTCGCTGGGCACAACAGCCCAGGCTGTAAGCCTGTCACCTGGCGAGTCCTCCCCGGCCAGTCCACCTGAGTCCGCGCCTCCCCGCCCTCCCAGGCGCCGGCAGTGCCTTTGGTCTTTGTCTCTGTCGCAGGTGCCACAATCCCAGCCACTTGGTTGTGCTGCTCCTTTGGTCTGTTACCCCACGGCCACTCCCAGGCCCTTGTCTGTCTGGTTCTGCACGAATCGCTATCTGAGAGCGGAGGGAACAGGGTCTGAATTTAAGTCAGATTTTCACCCTCGGATGGGGAGCAGCAGCAGCAGCAGAGCTTTAGTGGAGTTCCCTGCACCCCGTCCACGAGCCCAGGGTGGGGGGCACGGGCACAGGGGCGCGCTGTGCGAGGAGCTGGGACACAGGTAGCAGGGGTGCCAGAATGCCACCTGAGGCCAGGCAGGCGCCTACTGTCAGGAAAGCCAGGTGTGCTCCACGGCCACCGGGTGCCCCCACATCTTAGGGGAGCAGCGATCCAGGAACCCAAACTGGACAACACAGACCAGGGCTCAGGCACCGCAGGGAAGGTGGCAGGAATGGGATGAATAAAGAGCAACCAACCTGTGGGATGAGAGCGTGCAGCTCCTCACAGGGAAGAACAAATAAAACTGAAGGAATGTGCAAGACTCAGCTCACAGCACTCACACTCATTCCACACTCAGATGCTCCTAAATACACTGCATTGCTCCCTCTCCCTCTCTTCACACTCACACACTCTCACCCTCATACACTCACACTCACACATTCTCTCTCACACACACTCACTCACACTCTTTCTCACACTCACACACTATGACACTCACTCTCTCTCACACACACTCTGACCTCACACATTCTCACACACTCACTCACTCTCTCTCACACACAAACACATTCTCACCCTCACACACTCTCACTCACACTCTCTGGCACTCACACTCTCACTCCCACCCTCACACACTCACACCTCTCACACTCACATTCTCTCATATTCACACACTCTCATAGTCACACATACTCTCACTCACAGTCTCACACACACTCACACACTCTCTCACACACTCACACTCACAACACTCACATTCACACACATTCTCTCTCACACTCACAACACACTTTCACCCTCACACACTCACAACTACACTCTCTCTGACACTCACAACTCTCTCACACTCACATACACTCTCTCACACTCACACCCTCACACTCACAGCCTCTCACACTCACAGCCTCTCATACTCACACCCTGTCACACTCACACTCACACACTCTCTCACACTCACACACTCTCTCACACTGTCCCTGAAGAGGGGCCAGAGGGGCCGGCAGGTGGTGGAGTGCATGCTTCATACCCGAGCGGCCTGCAGAGGCTGGGAGGAATGAAGGAGGAATGTAGGTGGAGTCCCTGACAGCCTTGTGCACTGAGCGCCGGGGGCCCATTCCTGCCACTTGCCAGCAGTCCCTGGGGCCCCAGGCAGCTGACTGAACCTTTCTTGCCTCAGTTTCCTCATCTGCCACATGAGGGTGATAACAGCACCCAGCGAGTAGGGCTGTGTGAGGATTAAGATAATAATTAGGGTTTAGGACAGTGGTTAACACAGGGTAGGCGTTTATAGAGTGCCTGCGATATAAATAGACACATTTGGCGATCTCCCCGGCCTGAGGCTGTGAGCTTTCCGACAGCTCCTTCGGGGGCGATGGCCTGGAGGGGGAGGGGGAGGGGGCTCACCCAGGATTTCGTCCACCACTGGTTCCCAGCCTCCCCCTCCTACACCAAGATGAGGTCCCAGAGGTGGTATGAAGGGAGACACCTTTGAGGGTGATCTGCTCTGGGAACCCCCAAACTATCCTGAGTGGGTGATTTTCCTGAAAGGAACCAGGTCAGAGGCCCAAGGTCAGCCTGGGTGCCCTCAAACAGGGTGTCTGCTGAGGAGTCAGGGCCAGGACACACAGCGACAGGCCTGAGCCAATCCCTGGGAACCAGCCCCCTTGCCTTCCCGCTCATGTGGAGGGAGGCACAGTTCTACACATCTGGCTCTGCAGCCCGGTCCGACCAGCCTCAATGGGGCCACCCGCAGGGCTCCAGGAGCCCCATCCTCCACCAGGTGTCCTCCCAGGGCCCAGCAGCTCAGAGACATCTTGAACCACCTTCTCTGAAGGTGATTGGGGGGGGGGGGCTGGGACATGGGAGGGAAAGAAGAAAGGTGGGGAGGGCTCTAGTTTAGTCCCCAGAGGACAGCTGGCCCAGAATCAGCCCTCCTGCCAGCTCCCGGCAGCAGGAGGGAAGCCAGACAGCACTGTGACCTTATCCTCTCCTCTGCCTGCAAAACGAAGGCAACCACAGTGTTGCCTTCGAAAGGCTGGTGTGGCAAGTGCATGACAAGTCCCAAGGAGGTGCCCGGTGCCCAGGAGTAGAGGGTTCTTGCTTATTATTAAAAAGACAACCATGGTCCCCATAGCCCCACGGGGAAAAGAAGGTAGAAGTGAGGCAGTTCAGCCAGAGGCTTAGTGGAACTTACAGGTCAAGCTGGGACTAGAACCCGTTTCTCCCAAAAGCTGACCACCAGGCCTGCTATTGCGCCCCTGCCCCTGCCCCTGCCCCTGCCCCTGCCCCCGGCCTGACCACCCCGGGTGTGGCAGGAGCTGGGAGGAGGCTGCAGAGCTCTCTGACAGAGGAGCAGCCTTACAGCTCATCCGGAGAGCCAGTTACAAAGTTTCCTGACATTAGGCCGTTTCCTAGACCACAATCTCACCCTCTGGTATCCTTCCCAAGTTACACGGTTTTATAATCTCCCTTCCCCAATGCTGCCCGGGCCCGGCCAGTTTGGGGGCACTCAGATTTAATACCCTCAGAGGTTAGTAAAGAGGTTGCCAGACACAGCTCTCTGCACATGAATATGCAGAGACTCTCTGATCCTGTGAATGAAAGCGATCATTTAAATGCAAATTCCATCCTCAGCTGCTGGGTGGGCAGGATGGCTCCTCTGGGCTGCAATTCCAAGAAGAAACGCCACTAACTCAGAACCCCAGGAAGCTCTGTGTGGAAGTGTTTCCGGGCGGTGGGCTCGACTGGGTGCTCCTTAGGGTGGACAAGGACTGCTTAAAAGTGGGAGTGGGTTTACAAACTCCTTGAGTGCACCCACAGAGCTGCCGGGTGCACACGGACTCTGGGAGGTCCCAGCACCTTGCTCTCCCCAGAGGCAAAATGAAGGAGAAGCTGCTTGCTGTGTCCTCGTTGAGGTTAAAGGAGCTTTTAAAACTCAGGTCTCCTGGCTTCCCTCCCACTCAAACCTCTAAGGAGTTCTCCGGCCTCAACTTTCCCTGGCCCCGAAGGTTGTGGTCTGGCTGGTCCCAGCAATCCAGTCCTGTCACAGCTGCCACCAAGTGCCCACATGCTCTCTCTCTCTCTCTCTCTCTCTCTCTCTCTCTCAGACACACACATATATCTGCCTGGGAGCTCCAGCCACAACGGCCTTTGTTCAGTTCCTCCAACTTCATCCCCACCTCCAAGTCCTTGCATTTGCAGTGCTCTCTCCCCAAGATCTCCTGCAGCGGGGCCCCTCTGGCAGGGCTCCCCTAAAATGTCACCCCAGAACAGCTTTCAGCACGTGCACACCCGGCCGCTGCTCTCCTGGCAGCCTCACCCTAAACAGAAGTTCCATCTCTATACACTGACCTGCTCGGTGTGTTCGTCCCCCTCCCCGCGCCTGTGGCCATGTCACACGCTGCCGTCTCCCAGGCCCAGCTCCGCAGCGGGCACACATATTGAAATAAATTCATCCATGAAGATCTGGAGTTTCTCTTTCTAACAGGACCGCCTGTCTCGCTGGCTGCGCCCCCAAAGGCAACTCCTTCCCCTCCGTCCTCTCCCTTCCCAGCCAGGCTGACCTCTTCCCAGCTGAGCGCGGGGGGCGGAGGGGAAATGCCCACTCGGCCACGCCGCCCGGTGCAGCCTATTTACGTTCCTCCGCTGCTCACAGCCTGGGGCCTCCGGAAGCGCCCACCGCACCGAGGACATTTCTAAATCAAGGCTCCTGGGCTCAAGTTCCGAGGCTTCGGTGCCAAGTTCCTCACTCCCAACCCTCTAGCCTTTGCGAGGACCCCAGTTCCTCCCGGGCTCTGCTCGGTGCCCCCCAAGCCTGGCGCAGT